CCAATTGGGAGGAGATATCGATACATAAATGTGCTATAGTCGCTACCAGTGGCGGCGCGTCAATAGGGCCAACCGGGGCAATGCCCCGGTTGTTTTTTTGGTATAATAAAAAATATTCGAAAAATACCTCAATATCGGTTGCACAGACTGCCTACACTAGCCATATTCTCCCAACATGGTTCATTTTTCGCTCGCAAAGCCTTCGCCGAACGTCGACGGGGCGACGCCGATTTTGCCCCGGTTGCTCATTGTATATCGTATTCTCTTATTTATCTTCCACTCGCCGCGTTTGTCTCGTTTGTTTTCTGTTTCTTTTACTAAATCATCGGGGCCGATCGGAGCTAGCCCCGAAATTATGACGACACAATGCCGACGTTTCTTACAACAACGTGTTGACATATTCACGCATTCCTTCTCGTTCGTTGGTTGCTTGAAGAGTTGATAGTTTCCTCGCCTTCGTTTTTGTCGCTTGTTTCGCTATTTGAATCAGTTGGAGACCTTTAGTCCATTTGCTTTCGATTTTTCACATTCCTTTTGAGCTCCTCACTTCTTTCCGGCTTCGCATTTTTTAGCCTTAGACCTCATAATGAATAAGGTTGATGCACTACTTCGCACTCCGTTTTCGCAGCTGCCGCTGGAACAAAAATTAGAGGTACAACGTCTTGGGCCTTATCAACCAAAAAATTGTTCACTGGAACAATCCCATGACAGAGGAAAGCGTCGGCGTACATTCTGCGCAGAAACTTGGTATAAAAAACACGAATGGTTGTGTTACAGCGAGGACAAAAATGCACTTTTTTGTTTTTATTGCCTACTTTTTGCTACCGCCCGTGACTCACGTTGGTGTAAATTTGGTTTTAGAGATCTTAAACATCTTTCCGAGCGTGCCAGGGATCATCAATCTTCTATGGAGCATCTGGACAATGCAGTAAAATACCGAACATTCGGAAATGTTAATATTGCAGCACAGTTGAATGAAGGACGCGTGGTTTCTATTCGTCGGCACAACCAAAACGTCGAGAAAAACCGCCATGTTCTCGGTCGATTGATAGATGTTTTGAAGTTCATTGGTTGTCACGAGCTGTCCCTCCGTGGGCACGATGAACGGGCTGGCTCTTCTAATAGAGGGGTATTTTTGGATATGGTGAAATACACCGCATCCCTAGATACAGTATTGAGAGATCATCTTGATGCCGCAACTGTTTCGATAGGGACATCTAAGGATATCCAAAATGATTTGCTCGACTCAATGTATAAAATTTATTTACAACATTTGGCTCTGGAAATTGAGAACTGCCAGTTCCTTTCGATTCAGTCTGACGAGACAACTGACATCACGTGCGTTTCCCAACTGGCTGTGATTTTTCGGTTTGTGAAAGATGGTAAACCTACCGAGAGATTTCACAGCTTTGTACCAATCGTTGATCGCACGGCTTGCGGGATATCGGCTTTACTGAAAGAAGTGTTACAGCCTTACAACGCGAAGTCAAAATTGATAGCTCAAACTTATGACGGCGCGGCAGTCATGCGTGGGTCGAAACATGGTGTTCAAGTTTATATAAAAGAAGATTTTCCTCATGCGCATTTTTTACATTGTTATGCACACCAATTTGACCTCGTTATTAAAAATATGTGTCTTGATACCCCTCTCATCCGTATATTTTTTTGCAAATGTTTCGGGGTTTTCTTCATTTTTTCCGTTTCGCCGAAGCGCTCTGACCTCCTTTGCCAGATATGTAGCCGACGTCTCCCAGCTTGTGCACCAACACGTTGGAACTTCCAATAACGCGTGGTGCAGGGCGTGTCCGAAATTAGGTCTGAGCTCATTGAGTGTTTCAATGGCATTCAGAGCTCTCCGGTTTGGGACGAACGCTCTGTGAGGGAGGCGGCAGGTCTAAAGCGTCTGCTAGAAGATGGTGAGTTTTAATTTTTTCTCCACAATATTCTATCACGTGGATGTATTATACGACGCATTGCAGTCAAGGCTAATGGATGGAGCGTCTGTGCAGTCGTGTATTTCAGACTTCTGCGATGCTGTATCTCGTATCCGGGAAACAGTAAAATACGACGACACATGGAGTGCTTCTTTACGCCGCGGGCAAACAACGCAGCGTTTGATTTTGTCTGCAAAGGAATGCTGTGACATTCTGGTGAATCAAATAGGCGATTGTCTGCGCACTAAACACCTTGCCGCGTTCTCTTTGATGCACCCCAAAAATTTTTCAAAATTTGCACGTCAATTTCCCATCCATTTGTTGGCTACTGTCTCCAAATTTTACCCCATGATAAACGTGGGTAAATTGGAAAACGAATTACGATGTATATACACCAATCAAACTTTTTTGAACATCACATCAACTTGCGCGCTCTATGGGTTCCTCATAGATAACACTCTAGTAACTACCTATGCGGCGTCTGCAAAATTTCTGGACATCATTTTGACGACGCCCATTTCTTCCGCCGACGCAGAGCGAACATTCAGCACGCTGAAGCGTATTAAAACGCATCTCAGAAACACAATGAATCAAAATAGATTAAATTCCTTCGCTGTTTTATCCATTCACAGAGACGTTATTTCTGGGATGCATGACTTTAATCAGCGCGTTATTGAGCATTTTGCTTCCAAGAAACCGCGGCGTGTTTCATATATGTTCAAGCAGTAGAAGTCTAGCAGCATATATATCTATGAGTGAGCGACGCATGTCCTTATCTTTGCATTAACTTTCCTTTCTTCATAGTAACGTTTTAAACCTTATTTTAGGTTTTGTCTGCTTTCCCGAAGTTTCTGTTAATATGTCATTGTATTTATCTGGGTAAATATTGCCTTTCCTTTTGAAAGAGGTTTCAAGATAAACTATGTCTATATTTATTAATCCCTTGACATGGACCGGGTTTTAAAGACACTTTCTTATTGTTAAAAATTGTCGCTTTTGCCGATTGGTTGTTACCGATGGAATGGTTTTTATACTCATAAAATGATGGGAGAACTTACAGCGCTCATCCTGTCCCCGTAGATGGGGGTGACTTGGTCCCGCTGTAGTTTGCCCCGGTTGTCAAAATGACCACGCGCCGCTACTGGTTGCTACGTACATACATAAAAATCACAATACCTCCATAAAAGTGAGCTACTTCATGGCAGAAATACTCGCAAAACAATCGAAGCCATTCTCAGATTGAGAATTCGTTAAGCAATGTATTGTTCGGGTTGCCAATATTTTATGTCCGGAAATAAAAGTGACGTTTGCAAAAATAGGCAAGACAGACGATTCTCGCCGTGTTGAAGAGCGAAAGCGCGAAAGTTTTCATCGTATTCCTTGGCGCTTGACAAAAGCACTGACATCAAGTCTTCTGCTAATTATGTGTGGAGTTATTGATGCTTTGCGAAATTATCGAAGAGCTCTTAGCCATTGTCCCAATTATGGGCACGACCTCAGGTATTGAGTTGTTGAGAGCTGTGATGAAAATGATCAAATGTCTTGGTTTGTCTTCGGCAAAACTTTCGGGAATGACCACCGATGGCGGCCCATCAGTGGTTGGGAAACAACAGTTTTATTGTTCTAATATTTGTGAAAGTTTGGCGTGAGGGTATTGTTTGTTTGTTCATTAACCTGTAGTCAGTGTAGCAAAACTATCATGTTGAGTGGCCCGCGCACATAATAGTAAACTAAATGTGGCCCTTCGGTCAAAAAGGTTGCACGACCCTGGGTTAGTGCAAAGCCGTAACCGACATGAACCACCAACATAGCGAGTCCAGCAAGCCTCCCGCCTAATAATAATCTCGCTTTCCCGATGCGCCACACCGCGACCCGAAAAAATATGAGACATCGGAATATAGGCATATGGCTCTCGATTTCACAGCGACGAACATAAATGTAAATGAGATCGGAAATATAGAAACAAATAGGTAAATTTGACTTGGTTGTCAAATATTTGTTATTGCGTAGTTTTATCTTATATTTTATCGTATATTAACGTTGAGTTTGGTTGCACGAGACTATCTCCCCATCTTGCCTTTATGCTAGTGAATCCGTATGCGTATACTGCAAGGATACTGTAGCCAATTAAAGAGTCCTGATGTTTCGTTCTTGCCATTGTTGTAAACTGCTTGTCTGAGGTAGGTGGAGTCTGACTTTGATCGGACGAAACGTTTCAGAAATATATTTGTGTTAGTGTGCAGCTTGACCCTTTAATTTGATAGAATAATTTATATATTTTGTTAGATAATCGGTTTTGATAATCTATTTATTTTTTCTCAACCACTTTATTGCCTGTTATGCTTGTTATGGAGTCGAAATAAACTTATACACCTAAAGTGCTTGAGAAATTGGAAATGTATCTTATTGTTTAAAAAGAAAATTAAAGTACTCTATTAGGCTATACCAAAAAAAGTTCTTAAATCCGAATTGGCAATGGATAAATTTGGCAAAATAAAATAAAGAATTTGTTTCGTTGTAATCAGCCCTCACCCCTGAATAACAAATAACATAATAATCTTATGATAGATAAATTTAAAAAAAAATGGTATTCTTGAATATCTATGTCCTAGATTCTGCTATAATGTGGCACACTATGTCTTTATAATATAAATCATACACGAGTACCTAATTTTTCGTTTTATTTATAAGTTAATTGCTATTAGTATCTGGCGTGATAGAAGCATTAGCAGAATGAAGATGACAAAATTTATAATATATATAGTATCAAATGCTGTACACGGGATTGTTTTAATGAAAGCACCGTATTTTCTTTCGGTTCAGTTGAAGTAATCAAAAAGACCCATAAAAGCTATGCTAGATCTAGCTAACATAATCAATGATTATGAACACTTGAAAAGCAGAATTTTAATATTGATTTTGGAGGACATTTAGGTCAGTTTATAATCGCAAACTGAAGAAATCACTCTCGAGATATCCATCAAAAATTTTCTTGTCATAGAGTAAAGACGAATTATTCTGAGGTCGCGGGTCGGGGGAAATCCAGTAGAGTTAATTACACTGCAATTATATGTTCCAATCTTCCTTTATCATTTCTGAAGCTTTCCGTCCAATCATATAACAAGGAGCTTGGGTGTTAGATGAAGTCTCATGAGGCATGACGGATGCATCGGCAACTCTCAGGCTTTCGACATATCGAACCCTGTACAGCAAAAGGCAAATGGTCAACAATGCGAGATCGACTTCACAAAGTAAATTTTATACATTTCAGCATTATATGTATCGATGTAAAATGTATCCATCATATATATATATATATATGTTTAATTACAAAATCTTGCTATAATTTTACAGCATATATAAACAATTGATTCAATTACATACCTAAGTCTTTCGTCAACGACTGCCATTTCATCATTTTCTTTTCCTATTTTAGCAGTACAGCATGCGTGATATCCAACACCATAATTTTTCACGTAACATCGATATAACTCATCGGGCCTTTGAAGTAATTTTTCTTACCAAAATCGTAATGTAATATATCTATATTTGACAACGTTTTGCAGCTTGTAGAATTGGATGTAAAATTTATATTTGAATATATATTCGATCTCATTTTCACGATAATGCATTACATATTTGCGATCGGTGATATAAATATATATATGGTTCCCGTACATTTGAATCCACGACAGTTGCAGCTGCATACTATTATTGCACCTATGGGATTTTTTTTGTTTTGCGGATATTTGAACCCATACTAACCTAACCCATGGGTTTTAGCACTCGTATATATACACATGGGTTCAAATGTACGGTCACCTAAACATATACCTGCACGGAAAATCTGGCAATTTTCTGTTGAACAGCAGTTAACATTCAGCTTCATTTAAATGGTATCATGATGTATTTTTTTTATCAACAAATTATACAATTGTGTACTGTATGCAATATAGCTCGTTATACTTTATAGCTATGCTGTATGAGTGGATGTTTCATAAAAATGTAAAAAGTATTTAAAAGAAAGTTAGTTATAATATGGGAAGGTCACCTGGGAGGCTTAGTGTAGAGCGATCCGTTGCATACTTCTGGTGTTATCAGGCGAAACCCGATTCCTTTCATAGTTTGTGACATTTCGAATTCTTCCAGCTTTCTAAATCCTGAAAATAGCCTGTTGAGAACCAAGCTAATGAAAGGTTTCTGCTTTCTGTTTAGCTCATCTTAATGTAGTTGCCAGACTCATGGTTTAACTTTATATACATGAAAAAAATTTCTTTATTCATAAAAAAACTCTTGGTGGATTCTAATAATGAAATATAAATTTTGGAAAATTTTTTGTATGATATCCTGCGTCAAATGTTTTTCAATGATTGGCATGATAAAAGTATGATGATTATGGTAAAACCATTGCAACAGCGGCCTAAAACTGGTAACCAAGTTGTCCCCAATCATAACACGAAGCGTTAGCCAGGTTGAGATTTATGCCGGTAAACTTCAGTTTTGTAACCGTTGAAAAGATGTCTTTATTCAGTTAGGTGAGGTAGATTGTCAAATTAAGCCGTTCATGACCATCATAAACCGCTGTTTGAATGGTGTAGGCAGTTTTATCACGGAGGTCTAGACAGGTGGCGTTATCATGGTTGTACTTAAAATTGAAAGTATATAGATGGGTTTCACTGTTCAAGATTGGGCGATAATAAAATCAACTTTTCCTGGGAGAGTTACCTTCAATGTACATCTTTATATCATCTTCTTCGGATAGATAATTTGGATCAATAATAGGTTGGTTAAACGGATTCGTCGAATTTAATCGAATTGCACCCTTTGATTTAGGATGCTGAACTCCCAATAACAGTGCGGTATTAAACCTATACTGAAATATAAATTTGTTTCATTACTCGCCAACAGTCTTAAGGACCATGCATTGTGATTCAATTTCTTACGTTTTCTTTTGTCTTGAAAGGCAAAGGTGCATCCTTTGGGGTAAAAAGTGCTTGTATACTAGGAAATGGTCGTTTTCTAAAAAGGGAAAAGGTAATTACAATATATATTTGTATATATATATCATCTTACATAACAGTGGTCTTGAAACAACCCAATAACAATACTCTTTAAACTACTATTTATTTACCGGGCTGTCATATCAAATCAACAAAATAGTGGACAGTATATTCATATTCGCCATAATTTACCATTGTAAAATAATATGTTGGTTTGACGTAAAGCAGATAATTATATTAGTGCATTTTCAATTTTGGAAAAAAAATTATATTCGCTTACTTGGTGCTTAGGCTCACATTAGTTCCAAAATACTTTGTCTTATGATGAAGCACAACACCACTGCCCCAAACAGCTGAGTTATATCCGGTACCGTTCATGATGTATTCCATAATAGATTCCGTTGTCTAAATAGAGATCTCAATTAAATTTCAATTTGCAGTTTTTCCTCACTTTTGCATATCCATCCGAATAGGGAGTTGTTGGAATTAATTTCAAAATGCTCAATGTGTGGTGTTATTACCAGTGTTACTTTTTATAATACGGGACTGATTTAGAAGAATAAAAAGCTAATGGGCAAAGTAAAATCACGCTACCAAATGTATATAGCACTGCTACCTAAATTATATTATTCTACTTGTTACCTTCAGACGATAAATATCCTAAAAATGATTGGAAACATAACGTCAAAAGACTAGAATATATTCCCCTACTTCAACATTGTTAGAGCATCATGTAACGGTACTGGAGGCCACGTTTTGTTTTTATTGTTGGTTTTTACAGGGACGTATATTGCAAGATAAGGTTGCGGGTTCACTTGTTCTAACCCAAATTTTTGCTAATTTAGACATTGCTCCGATGTGAAGTTTCATGAAATCTTTTTTTGTTACTCTCTCACACACTGTACTTACTGATTGTGTTGCATACAGGTAGTCGTCAATTGCGTGATAAACGTAAAGCCCCATATGATCTTGAAGATTCGCTCCCACGCCTGGCAAATCCTTTACAACTTCTATCTGGAAGGCAAAAGTATTTCAGTCGAACGTTCGGAATTAACGACATTGTCATTCACGCCTACACGTTATGTATTTATGGTGATTCAGTTGTATTGAATAATCTGATTAGGAGAGAAACATTTCAAATTCAATACGAGTCAAATACTGGATTAACATATTGGAGTCAATTGTTGAAAAATGCTCTCCCTGATCAGAGTGATAAGAGCGATCACCTTTTATTTGTGAACTCAGTTAGAAATTGTGGATAAAATATTCTCATTCTCATAATTACTTTTGATGATATACATTTTTGTGAACCCATTCATAACGCCAAAGGGTCCAGATCAAAATTTCAGTGTTTTGTATTTGTGTTCTTCTTGGTCGATCTAGAGATGACGGCAAGTTGGTATGAGCAACTGATTATCTTTTTCTACTAAGACATACTTCAAACGATTTGAAATCTACTCCTGCCTTGAAAATTGCTAACGGGACCATATTAGGCCACTTTATTATGTATCTGTTCAGAACGTGGTGTAAATAGTTTTTTTTATTAGTTTGTTCAGCAAATAATCTGATTTCAATATACTTAACTCTGTTTCAACAAGTACAAACAAAAGAATCTACCTTCAACTTTTTTAAATGATTTTTCGGTCCGATTCCTGACAACATCAAAAGTTGTGGAGTTCTTATTGTACCAGCCGATAAAATAATTTCTTTTCTGGCTCTAACGTTGTTTATTTTACCATCTTTGATGTACTTCACACCAGTAGCTTTCTGTTTACCGTTCTCGCCAGTGACAACGTGAACCTTGCTTACAAGTGCATTCGTTACAACGTGCAAACTTTCTTGTCTACAAAATATAATCAAAAATTCGGTATTCAATATTTTGCAAAATATGTATACAGAAGCGGATTTGTGCAGTCAAATTTTCATTCAAATGTACGTTATCTTTAATAGTATCTGAATACCATTGGGTGAAGTGAACTTTTAATTAACCTTGATTCTGACTTAATACTTTACCGTTCTTTATATCCCGATCGCAAGAACGCGTCTGAGGACGATTGTCTTAATCCCTTGTATCTGGTGCAAACAAGTGGAGATATTCCTTCAATTTCATCAAAATAGTCAACTTCTTTTATACCTTGTAGAATAAATAAGTTGAGTAATTTCCAAATATCTTCTGATACCAAACTAGCAGATAACATAATATGATGTTTAAAGCATAACACGTGGCAGATTTTATCATGGAATTCAAATAGATACAGAAACTCATCATGTTCTTACCGATTTCTTTTGCCGCCGTCACCAACCTTCTAGAAAATGGATGTTGGTATGAAATGCTGATATTTAGAAGACCTTCTCTTCCTGCTTTTTCTGATATTTTATTGTCGATAGCGTTTTCATTTTTCCGAAAAAAAGGCTCTACATATTTCCAACTCCATCCCTTTGCTCCATGATCTTCCCAAGAATCATAATCATGTGGACTTCCTCTCAAGTAATCCATTGCGTTAATTGATGTTGATCCACCAAGAATTTTTCCTCCGGGATATTTTGCATTCTTAAAAAGTATATAATTCGAAATTTACCTGGTTCTCAGGCATCAGTATCGTATTCGTTTTATGTTATCTGAGTTTCCAATTTTACACTAAAATGTGATATGATTACCTCTCCCATTTCAAGTAAAGAATATTTTTGTTTTGCTATATCGTAGTTCCAGTTGGCAGGAGATTCTTGCAACATGTCAAACATCGTTGGACTGGGAACTAAACGATTGCCCCAATCTGAGTCACCCGCCTCCAGCAGTAACACCCTGAATATATAAGTGATCAATGAATTGAAATAATATGAAACAGCTTGAGTCAAATACTCATGATGGTGCATTTGTGCATTTGATTTTTCCGCTTATCAAAATCATTATGATAATGTTAACACCTTCATTTAGATGTTGCTTGTGCGTAATTAATTAGAGTTTTGGCTAACACTGACATATTATGCTGCTTGTTCGCAAAACTTGGTTTGCTATTTTAAAGGTAGGGCGGAGTTTTCAGAAATAATAAATTAGTGTGCAATGCGTACGTCATTCCAGTTTTGTCTGAAAGTTCTCTTGCAACAACTGCTCCTGATGCACCTCCGCCAACTGCAAGATGAAGAAGAAAATATTCCAATATTTTACCTCTTTTTCATGAGACATATATATACTTATTCAATAGAATATTCACTTGATAGTTGTAAGCAAGCTGACTTTCAAAAGCGAATAGGATCCGGCAAAACAATGTTATGCAAAGCTTTTGAAGGGCTCAAATATATTAATATTATTTTCATTTTCGACGATCACTAAATGTAAGTAGGTGCTCATTCGCAATCATGTTCAAATTGAATTCAAATGCAGAATTTTGCAGAGGATTTTCAGTGAGTAATACACCAGGCTCGTGCAGATGCAGCGAATGTTTTTCTACATTTCCAAAATCCTTCTTTCCTCATAACAAAAAGATAGAATAAACGAGTATTTTACTATATTGAATGGATGAATATTTTTGTATCAATAATAAATAAAACTGGAGATACAATAAGATATATTCGTACCGCGAAATATCATTTATAACGTTGAGAATATGTGGCACGTAACCAATATTTCTGATAATTTTGTCTTTTAAGCGCATGAAATTTACCAACTAATGCAATTCCGATTTTTTTATACCCCAACTGCCCATATCTTCTATTCCAGAACATGGCGTATAATGGAAAATATCTAATTTATAGAACTACCACCCTACACTTCAAATAAAATGAATAAACGGGTTTAATCTGTCATTAACTTACCAACAATGAAGTCGTATTCTTCCGTTACATCGTTTGTTATCATCGGATCGTATGATGTTCGTGCTATTAGAGTCATAAACAGCGCGGTAATTGTACCCTTTATCATTTTGTAATAAGCCAAATTATGGTGATATTAAACTTTTCGAAACAACTAAATCATAACAATTTTACACTTTTATTCACTAAATTTGAGTCTCACAAACAGAAAAAATTTTTTTCGCATTTTTCCGTTCTCTTATATTGGTAACAACTCTATAAACGAAGACTTGCAGATCAGTGGTTAACTGTCATTCAAAAGCGGCATCTATCGCCATCTATATTATTCAACGACCAACATTATTCACCAAGCATAAAGCTCTACTCAACAGACCATAAAGTATGAGCATTCTGAAATATCTTGATACAATCGCATACTCCAATATTTAATATTTAGCGAACACTTTTTTATGTGCACGATTTGCTTTAGCGATCAGATAAAAATCGTTCAAGAAATGTTTGCCTCGGGGTTTGAAGTGTGTTGATATTTATTAAAGTGGGTATTAGTATGAATTTATTAGATGCATTCTGAGTTTACTGCAGCATTTTAAAAATTCATTTTATTCTTTGTTTCAGGGATGAGAAAACAAAAGAATATTAATGAGCATTTTTGCTTTGTGTGAATTTATTGGAAGACTCTCTGATTTGATCACTTGTATCAAAACAATGTGGCAGTGCAAAGCTAAATACGCTATGCTTTTAAACTTGAATATAACGTTTTACGATTTACATAATATATTTATATATATAGATAAAAATTCTGGGGAAAATTACATGCTTTAAGACTAGTGTGTGCAACCTTTAATACAGGAGGGCCAGATACAAATAACTGAATGAAACCACGGGCCGCGCCTTTATTTAACATAGGCTTTCTAGTAGCACAAAAAATTTGGTAATTGTTCTTATGACATTCGTTGCATAGATAATAAATTGGACTTAGGTATAGAATTTGCAACGCAAAGGTGTTGAAATCACTTGCACGCACCAAAATTTCTGGGTCTCACATCATTCGAAATTAGTATTTCTCCGCACAATTTTTCCCTGTGGGCCGGGTTTAGCCCGCGGGCCGCAGTTTACACACTCTTGCATTAAGATACTAATTGTATTGTCTTGTCACCAGTTGTCGCCAAAATCCAGTTGTCTGTGTAAACTCGTAAATAATACTGATGGACCCCAATCAAGCCAATATTTTTCGGTAGAGAAATATACACACAATATAAACGCGGACACTATGGTCCGCAACATTAGTCCAACAATATATTGTCGAAATACTTGCACACACCTGCTATATATATTATTAACAAATTTTGTCAGCTTCATCATGCTCATTCTGTTAATGATTCTGTGATGCCAGATACTAATTGCAATTAACTTGTGAATAAAACGAAAAGTTGTGTACTCGTGTGGCATTAGAGTTAGACTACCGCAGTATCATCCTAACCTTTCGTATATCGTAATATCATAGTTAACTGAATATAGTTCGCTCACGCTTTTTTCGTCTTTGTTTATTTATGTTACACAGTTCTCTCGTTACGCGTCATGGTATTCTCAACGCGATGTTGTGGCGCGTGTACTCCTCAGCTATTTGACTCAATAGTCCTGACTTTAGTCGGTGTCTAATGGGGATGTAGGTTATCGGAATGATATGATATCGTGCCTTTGCCAGAAATCGATTGATCCTGCGAGCAGAACGTCTAATATAACAAATCGAGACAAATTCATTTCTGTTACCAAATTTTAATTTCCAGTTACCATCGTTATACATACCACGTGTTGCGACTTTTTTAATTTATCGTCGACTAAAACGACACCGGGTGTCGCGAAAAGTAAAATTTGATCTGAATTAATAGCAAATAATGTTTTATCATCTAACGTCTAGTACTCATCATTTTCCGGGAGAACTCGGAAAGACATTTAATTTAAAATAAAGAATGTTTCACTATTCCAAAAAATTAGGATTGTTGCAATCGGAAAATTGCTTGTAAGATGGCAGTCGGCACCAATAAATATTAATCATTATTATAAGCGAAATACATAGTAAAATTGTAAAACGCGAAAATGGTGCAATAACGCCGTCTTCGCGTTTTGAATATTCAAGCCGGGATTACAGTACTTGATGTCTGTCGCAAACGCTTTTGCGATTTCGTCGAAAGAGAAAAACGCTCGTCACTGATTAATAAATTAGAAATCCGAAATACAAAATTTGAAGCACCGCACCGAAGAGGCGGAAACCGAATCCTAGGATTTCGAACCCTCCGTATTCGGTATTCTATATTGTCCATCCCTACATGGGAGTATCTGAATTCTTACTATTGTGCTATAATCCTGGTATAAACCTTTAATACTATCCAATAAATGCAATGACAGAACAGCAGAATTACTCTGTCCCTACTCCACTATGATAACTTATGGTACCGACGCAGAGATGACTGGCAGATGCCACGATCCCTTGTTTAATCCTAATGCCTCAGTATATCTTTTCAGTTATTTCAACCAACAAAAATGCAAATAAATTTAAAAGAAAATCCTCTACCGTAAGCTTCAAAATATAGGAAACTGATGACGTAGTAACGCATCACTCATGCGTAGCGAACCGACCGTGAGCGAACTATATTCAGTTAACTATGGTAATATGTCTAATTTGAGCTGCTGATTTTGAGTGCCTGAATCTGAAACAGTAGCTTAAATATATATAACAATATTACTCGTTTTATATTTAGTCATGGCCTATAAAATGCAAAATATGAGAATTTATAACAAAAGGCCTTGCTGGACTTGCGAGCCGTTAAATTCCCAGGCGGCGAGCTTTTCGGTTTTAATTAGGCTAACTCGCGACGAACGCTGACGGCCGCGTCGTTTTCCAACGGCGGTGATGGGAAGTTTAATAGGATAGCGAAAAATAAAACTTACTACAGTATCAAATGCTGTACACTGGATCGTTTTGATGAGAGCAACGTATTTGCTCTTCAAACTTCAAAAACTCTGTAAAACGTTGCGAACAGTCTCGCGCGATATTTTAAGTTTTATTTGAGTAAATCAGGAAAACCTTGATTAGCACAAGCACATAAATGCAAACGTCATAGCTGACGAATAGCTGACTTGGAGAAGTTAAAGGAATATAGCAATAGGCTTTCTTTTTGGAGATATGAAATATTGTTTCTATTAATCTGAAGTTAGGTTTACAAAATTTAGGTATGAATCAAATAACTTAATTGTCAGTTTTCTTGTGAAGATTTAGTTTAGTTGGTTTAGTTTAAGTAATAAAGAAAAAACAGAAAAGGTATGGTAGATCTGGCTAACACTATCTATGAATATACACTTTTAAAACAGCAGAATTTAAATATGATTTTGAACATTTAAGCCAGTTTGTAATCGCAAACTCAAGAAATCACTCTCAAAATATGCACCAAAATTTTTGTAGTGGTGAAGTATAGACGAATTATTCTGAGGCCAAGGACAGGGGGAAATCCAGTACAGTTTACGGTACTGCAATTATATGTTCCAATATTGCTTTATCATTTCCGACGCTTTCCGTCCAATCATATAACAAGGAGCTTGGGTGTTAGATGAAGTCTCATGAGGCATGACGGATGCATCGGCAACTCTTAGGCTCTCGACATATCGAACCCTGTAAAACAAGAGGTAAGTGGTCAACAGTGCGGGAGCGACTCCACAGAGTAAGTATATACATTTTATGCAGAATTCGCAGGCTTGTCCATATGAATGGAATTTCGACGAGAAACGCCACATTAGATGGAATGGGACAGCACACATTTGTATTTTCGTGGGACACGAATTTTTCTTCTTATCGTTATGAAAAAATCGTTTTTCTCCTAAACTATTACTTTTATTTATTCTCAAATTTTTATGAATGATATGAGATCTGATATTTCATCCAAAATTTTGCTTTATCATTTTTTACTCATGGGAACACAATTTTAAAGTTGAATCATGTAGCATAGATCATCGTCACACAATGGCAAAACATCAAATTGATGGCAGAACATTTCGTTATGAACTTCGTGTCCATATGTTTGAGCATAGTTCTCTTGTTAGTTATATAATTGTTCTAAATTAAGTTAACAAAGTCAATAAGTTTTATATGTCCCTTTGTACATGTAGTCCTAATCAGTAGACGCTAAACCTAAATTTAAAATGTTTTATTGAAAATTATTTCCAATGGGAATCCCATGGGATGGGATGGGCTTGAATTGCTATGGGATGGGACAGAAAAATATGTCCCATGGGCAAGCCTGAGAATTTAACTGGTTCAATGTAAAATGTATTTATCACATATATATTTTATGCCACAAAAATCTTGCCATGATTTTACAGCATATAAACGATTGATTTATTTACATACCTAAGTCGTTCGTCAACGACTGCCATTTCATCATTTTCTTTTCCTATTTTAGCAGTACAGCACGCGTGATATCCAACGCCATAACTTTTTACGTAACATCGGTAAAATTCATCTGGCCTTTGAAGTAAAATTGCTACCAAAATAGTAATGTAATATAAGCTATCTATACATTTGCCAGCTGTTTGCAGCCTATATAACATGATGTGAGTTTCTGTTATGAATATATTCGATCTCAGTGGTCATTTTCACGAGAAATAAAACAAATTTACAATCGGTTATATATATACTTGCACGGAAAATCTGGCAGTTTTCTGTAGACAGCAGCATTCAGCTTCATTTAAATATTATCACAATGAGTAGGCCTATTTGTTTCTTACTTACTTCTCATGGTTTATAAAATTTATACTGTTATACTTTTAAACTATGTTGTATGAGTGGATGCTTCATAACAACGTAAAATGTACTTCAAAGAAAATAGGATATAGTATCGGAAAGTCACCTGGGAGGCTTCGTGTAGAGCGATCCGTTGCATATTTCGGGTGTTATCAGCCTAAACCCAATTTCGTTCATAGTTTGTGACATTTCGAATTCTTCCAGTTTTCTGAATCCTGAAAATAGACTGAACTAAGCTGCTATGAATTATGAAGCTCATAAATGCATGTATGCGTCCAATACTGAATCTGCGAAACTGTTTGAAATGTTTCTGATTTCTGTTTAGCTTTCCTTAATGTGGGTTATCACGCATAATTTTTTTTTTTTTTGATGGATTTGATTCTATATTTTTTTTTTCTTGCAATTTACATGAAGTAGACTTGGTTTTCTACCTATGAATATTTAAAAACCGCACCGACGAAAGTCGACCACAGTTCGACCTGGTCGGATGAAACGTTACAGAAATACATTTGTGTTGGTGTGCAGCTGGACTCTTTAATTTGATAGAATAGTCAATTTTTATACTTGACAAAAATTTCTGCATATATAAAAAAAAACTACCGTATGCAATTTAACAGTTCTGCTGTAAACTAACACAAATGTATTTCTGTGAATTCAGTTTTGTAACCGCTGAAAAGATGTCCATATTTAGTTAGTTGAGATAGGTTGTTATTTATCATACAAGTTAAGGCGTCCACTACCAGGATAATCTCATAAACCGCTGTTTGATTGGCGTGGGCAATTTTATCACCGAAGTCTAGTAATCATGGTTGTTTGAGTGGTGTAGGCGGTTTTATCATGGGCAGTGGCGTAGCATCCACCCCCGCAACCTCCGTGGTCGCTCCGCGGTCGCGGGGGGGGGGGGGGAGCACAGCGAAAGGGGGCCCCGAGCGGGTAAAATTTAGAAATTTAAGCCGCAAAACCAAAAGCTGCATTGCAAAAGCAGTAATGCACATCTTATAATGTTGATGTTAGTTCTGCCGTAAATATATAAATCGTTTTGTTACGTAACAATGCCGAAGTCGATGATTTTCGATGTCGAGTGGTTTGATTGCACCGACCACCGGCACAATTACGAAGGCTGTCAGATTGATGTCGAAAGCAAAACCTCTTAGTGGCGCATAAAAACGAAGAATAAAAGGCAGAAGAGGAAGACCGTATAAAAAAAAAAATAACCAAGATAAACGAAATATTTAAACCAAAATTGAAACAATTAGACTTGGGAATACCGAACGTAACTGAGGAGGAATTAAGCCTAGCATCGGTGGTATCGGTAGAAAACCAGATGCGTGTTCAATCTCCAAAAGTGATAGCGCCGGCGCGAATGAATTTTCTTCCAAAACTTACACGACAATGATCACACGTACTGATTTTTAAAGCAACTTGAAATTGATATGATGAAGATGGTGGATGAGTTTGCTAACACGAAAGCGCAAATTTTAGCTTACCATTGCTTTTTTATACCGCTTTTTGACGAAATAAAAAAAACTTTGTTTTAGCTTATGTCCGAGAGTTTTTAGGTTCATTTCCACAAAATATTTTTGCGGGGGGACCCACGAGAGTCTTTCTACGCCACTGATCATGGGGGTCTAGTCTAGACAGGTCGCGTTATCATGGTTGTACTTAAAATGGAAAGCATGTAGAAAGGTTTGACTGTTCAATGTTAGTTGATAATAAAAGCAATTTTTCATGCGGGAGTTACCTTCAATATACATCTTTATATCATCTTCTTCCGATAGATAATTTGGATCAATAATAGGTTGGTCAAACGGATTCTTCGACTTCAATCGAATTTCACCCTTTGATTTAGGATGCTGAACTCCCAATAACAGTGCAGTATTGAACCTATACTAAAATATAAATTTGTTTCATTACTCGGCAAATATCTCAATGACTGTGTATTGCGATTTAATTTCTTACGTTTTCTCTTGTTTTGAAAGGAAATGGTGCATCCTTTGGGGTGAAAATTTCTTGTATACTTGGAAATGGTCGTTTTCTAAAATTAAAAATGAAATTTTAAAAAATATATATATATTGTCTTGAAACAACTCTCTTTATATTTAAATGTTTCCGTGTGATGATATGTTATTTACATGTTGTAGAACAGGCAACAAACTTACACAATAACAATAGTCTATAAACTACTATTTACCGGACTGTCTTATCAAATAAAAAAATATACAGTATATAGCATCATATTCAGCATAATTTACCATTGTGTTACAATTCGCACATATTGTGTTATATTGACGTAAAGCAGATAAATATATTGATATACTGCGATATTAGGGTATTTTTAAATTTTTTATCTAGCTAGCCGGACCGCAGTTGGTAAAAATACCCACAACTAGCTGTTGTTTATATTCGCTTACTTGGTGCTTAGGCTCACATTAGTTCCAAAATACTTTGTCTTATGATGGAGCACAACACCACTACCCCAAACTGCTGAGTTATATCCGGTGCCGTTCATGATGTATTCCATGATAGATTCCATTGTCTAAATAACGATCTCAATTAATTTTCGATTTGCATCTTTTGTTTACTTTTTCATATCCACCCAAATAGAGATTTGTTGAATTTATTTGAAAATGCTGTAAGATGTGGTATCAATGTTCCTTTTTAGGATACGGGACTGCATGGTCGAGAAGAATGATAAGCTAATGGGCAAAATAAAATCACGATACCAATGCCTATGACACTGCTACCTAAATCGTATTGTTCCACTTGTTAACTCCAGGCTAAATATCCTAAAAAATGATATGAAACATAAAATCATAAAAATTGTATAATATAGTCCCGAGTTTAGCATTGTTGGAATTTAATGGTACTAAAGGCCACGTTTTTACAAGACCATATAGAGAAAGATAAGGTTGCGAGCTGTCTAGAAAAGATTTTCACTTGTTCTAACCAAAATTTATGCGAATTTAGACATTGCTAAACTCCCAAACTGTAATCGTCCAGTTTTCAGTGTCATTGTGGGTATTACAATAAAAAATGCAGGAGGATCGAGAAACTTGTTCAAAAGCAGATCTCATGTTTCAAAAAAAGTCTTCAAAAGAGTTTTTTCGAATTGAAAATTTGATTAGTCGGTGAATTTCGAAGTGGAAATTCATGAAATCTTTTCTTACCCATTGTACTTACTGATTGTGTCGCATACTGGTGATCGTCAATTGCGTGAAAAACAAGTATCTCCAAATGGTCCTGTAAATTTGCTCCCACGCCTGGCAAATCCTCTACAACTTCTATCTGGAAGACAAGAAATTTTAGTCATTCATTCAGAATTTTCCACAAGTTATATATCTACACGTTATGTGTTTAAGTTTAATTGTATTGAATAATATAATTATGAGTAAACATTTCAAATTGAATACAAGTCAAATACAGAATTGGCATATCAGATTCAATTGTTGATAAATGTCATGAGAACGATTAATTTTATTCATGGGATCAGTTAAAAATTGTGGATAAATTATTCTTATCTTCATAGTTACTTTTAATGGACCTCCAGAAGTATGCGCACCAAGATGGCGCACAACCTGAACTCAGGGTGTGTATCATGTTAGTGTTCAGGTTGTGCGACATTTTAGTGCGAGTACCCTTTTAATAATATACTTATAAACTCTGAAGGGCCCAAGTTAGAAGTTCAGTGTTCTGTATTGGCGTTCCTGGTCTGTCTAGAAATTGCGGAAATTGGGTATGAGCAACTGATTGTCCTTTTTTTCCAGGACATTTTAAAACGGTTAGCAGTCCACTCTTGTCCTGATAAATTCCTAACTAGAGCCTATTGGGCCACTCTATTATGTATCTGTTCAGTAGTGTGAATAGTTTTAATACTAATTTGTTCAGCAAACAATCACATATTGATTATGATAAATTCAACTCTGTTTCAGTGAGTACTAAAAAAAATCTACCTTCATCTCTTCAAGATGATTTTTCGGTCCAATTCCTGACAACATCAGTAGTTGTGGAGTTCTTATTGTACCAGCTGATAAAATGATTTCTCTCCTGGCTTCAACGGTGTTTATTTTACCATTTTTGATGTAACTTACACCAGTAGCTTTCTGTTTACTTTTTGCGCCAGTAACAAAGTGAATCTTGCTTACAAGTGCATTTGTTACAATGTGCAAATATTCTTCTCTGCAGAATATAATCAAAAACCATATTCGGTATTCAGTATATGCAAACGATGTAGGCTAAACAGGATCGGATTTTTGTAGTCAAATTTTCATTCAAATGTTGCGTTACTTTTAAAAGTAGCCAAATACCATTGGGTGAAGTAAACTTTTAACATTAATACTGACGTAATGCTTTACCGTTCTTTATAACCCGTTCGCAAGAACGCGTCTGAGGACGATTGTCTTATTCCCTTGTGTTTGGTGCAAACAAGTGGAGATATTCCTTCGATTTCATCAAAATAATCAACTTCCTCCACACCTTTGTATATAAAATATGAAATAAGTTGGATAATTTCCCATTATTTTCTATAACATCAAAAACTAGCAAAAACATAATATGATGTCTAGAGAAACAGATACTAGATTTAACCAAAAACTGAAATAGATAAAGAAACTCAGCAGTTTCATGCTTTGATTTGTTCTTACCAATTTCTTTTGCCGCCGTCTTCAACTTTACAGAAAACGGATGTTGGTATGAAATGCTGATATTTAGTAAACCTCCTCTTCCTGCATTCACTGAGATGTTTTCGTCGACGGCGTTTTCATTTTTTTTAAAAATTGGCTCAACATCTTTCCAACTCCATCCCTTTGCTCCATGATCTTCCCAAGAATCATAATCATGAGGACAATGTGTGGTCAAAACAAACAAAATTTCTTTTTCGGAAGAATATACACCGATAAAGGAGTGTTTTCAGATCCTAAGAAAGTAGAGGACATTATAGAAATGCCAACTCCACGAGATAAACAAGAGCTACAAAAATTCATGGGAATGGCAACATTTCTGGCATGTCATTTGCCGAATTTATCTGAGAAATCTGCAATACTCAGAGACTTATTGAAGAAAGATATTTCATTTCAATGGGATAGAGATCATCAAAAAGTATTTGATGAAGTAAAAGAAATGGTCGCGTCGAACTTTGGATTGCAATACTATGATCCAAAATTGCCAGTGAATTTGGAAGCTGATGGATCCATGAGAGGACTTGGAGCAGCACTTGTACAGAAGCATGGAGCTGTAGCATTTGCAAGTAAATCCTTGTCAAATACTCAATCTAATTACAGCAATATTGAACGAGAATGCTTAGCAGTGGTTCATGGTATCCAGGGATTTCACCACTATCTTTATGGCAAAGATTTTACTGTCATAACTGACCATAAGACATTGGAAATGATTTTTAAAAAGCCAATTCATTCTGCACCACCAAGACTGCAAAGGATGATAACGAAAATCCAAGGATATGATTTTGTGGTAAAATATCGTCCAGGTAAAGAGATGATACTTGCATATACGCTATCAAGGTTGCCAAACACTAAAAAAAGTGATGATATTGAACTTGACAGCAGAATAGAGAGTATCATATGCGAATCTTTAAATGTGGAAATTGATATGTTGAATTTTTCATTTAACAAGCAAGCTCAGATCCGAGAAGAAACTCTTTGTGATCCTGTTTTAAAATCCTTATGTCAGATGATTTATGAAGGATGGCCTGATGAGATAAAAGAAGTACCAAGTGCATTAAGAGACTTTTGGAACTTCAGAGATGAATTAGCCATTGAAAATGGTATTATATTTAAGGGTAAGCAAGTACTTATTCCAGAACCTATCCGATTGTCAATTTTGCAACAATTGCACCATGGTCATCAAGGTATTGAGAAAACTCGTAGACTTGCACGAGATTGCGTATATTGGCCAAGAATATATAAAGATATTGAAAATATTTGCAAGTCATGTGAATATTGTCAAGAACTACAACCACAGCAAACAAAAGAACCAATGATCATGCACGAACGACCATCACATCCATGGGTGAAGCTTGGTTCGGACTTGTTCGAAATCCAAGGTAGAAACTTCTTGATAATTTCTGATTACTACAGCAGGTACCCTGTTGTAAAAGAATTAAATTCAATGACAGCAGAATATGTGGTTTCCAAAACCAAAGAAATATTGTCCATGTTTGGAACTGTGAGAGAGATTGTGACAGACAATGGACCGTGTTTTTTAAGCAAATATGATAAATTTTGTGAAGCGTGGGGAATTACTCATACAACCAGTACAGCTAGACACCCACAGAGCAATGGTTTTATCGAACGACAAATTCGATATATTAAACCCATTATGAAAAAGTGTATCAAATCCGGAGGAAATATAGATGCAGCACTTTTAAATGTCCGTGCAACACCGATTGACAATGTATTACCAAGCCCAGCAGAACTTCTGTTTGGAAGAAGAATTTCTACATTTTTGCCTTGTCATTCAGACAATACTGTTCCACAAATTTACAAAGACAGAGTGAAACATAATACCGATGTACAAAAGCAATATGCTGATCAACACACAAAAAAATTACCGCCTTTCACAATGGACAAGATGTGAGAGTGTTTGATAAAGCAAAAGATATGTGGATTCCTGCAAAAGTTATTTCAAAAAAGAATGATCGTTCATACAACATCGAAATGAGCAATGGAAATCAGCTGAAACGCAACAGAATTCATTTGCGTGAAAGCTTGCCAGCTTCACCATATGTGGAATCTTCGAGCACAACCAATGTTGAGAACAATACACCAGCAACACCTTTGATGGAAAGAGAGGAGAATGTATTCAAATGGACCTCGCCTAAACCATCAAATACTAAAGAACGTTCAAACTCGACCAACAAACAAGAGATTGCTGATAAGCCACACAGCAGTAATCAGTCTGAGGGAAGTTTAAAAATTCCAGCCCAGACCCCGATCAAGCAAGAACCGACAATAACACGGTCTGGAAGAACAGTCAAAGTTCCTCAAAGATACCAGCATTAATTGAATGTTTAATAATTCCTTTTGAGTGTTATTTCTTGATCATTTAAGTGTATTGCAAGTTATGGCTTGATTTGGGAAAAAGGGGGATGTAGTGATATTGCATATATTATGTTATATTAATTCAGTGCCTAAGTTCATGACCTTTCATGCCGTTATTATCTTGCTCTGGCCTGCCCCCAGTGTATAACATGTATAACGTTTTCTGATTCGTGAAGTAAACGCAGTACTCTGAAACAACGAGCTTTATTCTGATAATATTCTACACTCCGGTATAGAAATCAAGGGTAGAGATATTATTACCATCACTACTTCGCTTGACTAACGTGAACGCAAGACTGCCACAGGGCAAACTTTTTTAATTTTTAAGACGCCAACAGTGGCCACATAACTTTTTGAAATAAATAGAAGTAATGAAAAATACAATATCAACTACTGCAAATTTTGAAACTATGGGTTCGGTAGTTAATGAAAAGAGCGATTTCTTTCCATACAAAGAAGAATAGAAATACTATCAAGATGAACAACAACCTAATAATAACAAAACTATCCATATGTTTACATTCCGTGTCCAATAACTGTGATAGCGTCTCCAGTCATCTTTGAGTACTGAAATTATAAAATTCATTGATTCATTATTTGCAAGACTAGCGATTTTATTTCTCGACAACAAAAATCTTGTCAAAAAAATTAACAACAAAAATTTAGCAAAGCGAACCATATGTACACTTCATTTTCAATAACATACACACATGCGAATAAACCATATATATATATATGTATTTATCTATTTTATCGATTTGGTCGGCAACACGGGGTTATTTTCGCTGTATTTAGGCGTCGAAAATATTTGGGCAACATTTTGCTGTCGCCCAAATAATTTGGGCTTTATATTTTTTATGAATCCCGTGATCAAAAAATTTCCAACATTACCCTCAAATATCACCATAAAATGTTGAATATGAAATTCGAGCAAAAAAAACTCTGGTTTTTGTCGTCAGTTTCTAGGCCTAGGCCTAGGCCTTTCATGTAGTTATTTTTGCTAAACTGTGGCTACAAATATATATCATGATTTTCTCTTTTCTAACTCTGTTATCTTTCGATCAGAATTGGAGGATTAAAATTTCGCTATCGTATTGTATTCCAATGATGCACCGGAAACTTTATCTGGAAGTTGTGACACTGTTATGGTAAATTTCACCCTGATAAAATGTGCAAATTTGCAGACGAGACTTATGATGTCATATAATGTCTGTGTTTGCTTTGTCAAGAGAGATGAGAAGTTGGTTTTAGTTAATTAACGGTTTAAATCAAAGATTAATTTAGTTTGTACATAAGGATAACGTTCGCCTTACCGTACTTGGCATGGATTTCCCATATTTATTCGATTGGATGGCAATACTTTTTTAATTGCTAATATAATAAATTATCAGTGACTATAACCACTGACTATATATATTTCTTGCGGTGTCGACCATTTCCAATGATGTTCCTCATCTCCGCAAATAGGCTAAAAAAAAAGTAGTCTCTCGGAATTGGGCAACTCGACTATATGTTGAACAAACTGTATTACTTGCGTGAAATTTTGTCACACAACTTTTTATTGAATACCGCTGAAAATAGCTCACTATTTGCTAAAGAAAACGAGAGGCCCAATTGCAGCATAAATTAGCATGTAACCACAACGAAGCAAAAAGATAAATATATATATGTTCAATATAACTTTTTGCAAGGATTGTGACTTCTCACCTGTTAAAATATGTCTGCAGTTTTAAATGTTTTAAATGATAAACTAGAATTTGGTTGGAAACCGAAGACTTATCGATCGGAGGTTAAGGGATCCCCCAAAACAGTGGCCTTACTCCATAGTGACACCGTGTGTCCAATCACTAATTAATTAATAACTCGCTAATTATACGACATAATCCATCCAAAATCGATGGGCTCCTGTTCCGAACTATGATGAATGCACATGCAATTCGGAGCAGATTCAACCTCGCTTTCGTGAGATATCGCGTGTATCTAACAGACAAACAAACAAACAGACAAATACCTATCAACATACTTACCAATCTTAGGATCGATAAGTAATGAGTGTATTTGTGTGTGTTTTATTTGAATTAATATCTGAAACTAATTCCAGAATTTTCAAAGTGAGATTCGTCGAATCGCTAAGTTCTTAGACGTAGATCTTGGCGACAATGATGTCGCTAATGTTGCTGAAGTATGTTCTATCAAATCGATGAAGGAACAAGCAGATGTTGAGAAAACAGGATTTTTGAAGATTAATGTACGGAAAGGTATGATTATGACGGTGCGTTTTCGCGTGGAAGAATTTTTTAACCCTATCAACGTATGAAAATGTGTTGTTCAATATATGGTTACCAAATTCCTAAATATTTTATTTAAGACGAGTTAATCCAACAAATATTACCGACGGTTGCACTTGAATCCCAGTTTTTACGAAAGACAAAGTTGAGACTAGTCAAATGAAATTTAGCTTTTTATTTTTTCCAGCTGTTAGTATTTGATACGCATTTGATACTGGCGAACTGCCGCGTTATATTTTTGCGATTCATGATGACAAACAATAGTGTCACCATAAGCTGAGGGCTCCCGTTTCTATAAGCTCTGTTCGTAACTCATGTGACAATACTCGTTGACTGTCTAACGATACTTTGCAACTAATTTCCCACAACCAACACTGCTGGAGGTGCGTAAATGTGTACTTTTCATCCAGGAGAGATTGGTGGGTGGAAAAATCAGTTCACAGTGGCGCAATCTGAACTAATGGATAAGCTGATAAAAGAGCAACTAGGCGACACTGGCATCGAATTTACATACGAGATATGATTGAATGGGAACTGAACCTCGTGATCACGAATAAAGCAAAATGACTTTGGTCACACTTATCGTCGTTTCGTCTTTTTTACCAACTTTCAAGACATCAATTTTTTCATTAATGTTGTATTTTACATGCCGAAAAATATATTACTCGGTAAGCAAGCAAATGAAAACACTCAAGTTTAATGAAAAGTTGAAAAGTCAGTTGACTTCTAGTTGACTAGAAGATATTTACGCCCAAGATAAGAAAACAAAGCGTTTAGTAACAAAGGATTGTCTTACAAGAGGTCGAAAATACGTAGATATAAGCGTTTAAGCCATTTGGAATGAATGCTGAAACTTCAATTAAATATGGCCACGTGTGTGCTATCAAAACCTATGAAACAAAGGCATCCATGCGAAACAGTGCAACATGATTGGGTGAGCGTATGTTTATAAAACAATATTTACAAACAAATGTACTAACATTACACACATACAGCAACACATATTGTTGCAGAGATAGGTAAACGTTTATAATAATGGGTAGATTATCATTTAGCTTAATGTTGATGAATTATCAAAAAAAGGCCATTTTGATCACAACAGGAACAAGGAGTAGGACAAACGAATGTACTTACATTACAAACATACAGTATCACATCTTGTTTGAAGTTACAGATATAGATGGAGTTGGCAGATATAGGAAAACGTCCATAACGATGGTTAGATTATCATTTAGCTAAATGTTGAAGAATTATTGAAAAAAAATCAATTGGATCACAGCAAGGAGTAGGACAAACAAAGGTACCAACGTTACAAACATACAGCATCACATTATGTTTGGAGTTGGGGATATAGAAACAGTTATAATGATGGGTAGATTACCATTTAGCTGAATGTTGAAGAATTAACAAAAAATGTCATTTTGATCACACCAAGAGGTAGGCATCATTTTATCTAACTTTTCTGCTTGGTATTATACTACTCCTCGCATTTCTCGGTCTGTCACCCAACAATTCACGATCAAAATCATGCTGACTCACTGTTGAAAATCTGGCACTGACACTCTGGTCCATACATGATGGTCTACTTTCGATTGTTTCACTCAACATTGATAGTGTACTTTGCTCTGCACGGCTGCTTATCTGCTGAAAGCGAAATGTATTTAATTTACATTTGTAATAACTATTTCTAGTATGTACAGTATATGTGATTTTACATCACTTGTTTGGGTCAGTATAAGGGCACTCCAGATTTAATTCAAATATCTGGAAGTCAATAAAAGATATCTTAGTTCATAATGAACCATCCATTTTCAATGAAACAAAGCAAAAAAAAGTTCTTACGAATCCACCAGTGGCAATACGAGTGCTTTCGTGGCGTCTCTTTGGCGTGAACATTTTTGATGGATTCGTTGCTGACGGCAAAGGTAAACGGCTACCTGTATGGTTGAAAGGGGTTTAAAAATTTTGGCAAAAAAAATATGATCATGGTTTCAAATTCATCGCAAAACGAAACATAGCCTCGGAAAGAAACAAGACCGATAAGTCGGGAACCATTGTCGTATAATAAGAACAAGTATTTTAATTAAATAGAATTCTATTCGTGCGGGAGATCTCGATTGAAGCATTATTAAATTGCACATTTTTTGCCAGTGTCCTATTACATTTCTATTATGAATTTATATTTATTATTAGTTTAAATGAGGTAAATGCTTGCCTGGTTTATAAGCAGATAACTTAGAATGTTGTGCTGCGTTATCCTGTACCATGCAGCTAAGCGATTTTGATCGTCTACGCATTTTTCGATTTGCAAATGTTCCACTTGTTGACGGTTCCAGCAGATTGTCGGTGGTAGCAGAACTTTTTCTGCAACCTGTATATTTCAAATAAATATGAATTTATTAAGCATACAGATTTCAAAATAATATGAAAAACAACATTTACGTATATTTATGCACAGAACACAATTTCTACTTCATTTGCCTATGCCTCGACTTGACACAATAAAATGTGGTTTTACAAAATGTCCCCTGAGCTGCAATATAAATTTGTACATATGGATACCTACTTATGTTCGTTTTCAGTACTTTTGACGTATATTGTTTTATTGCGACTCCGACCTTTGTCATCTTCTTAACTTTAGAATCCTTAGACGTAGTTGTTTTTGGTGCAACTGGAGGTTTATTAGGAGAATATCTCATCGAACCCCAGGCTGTAAGTTTGACCTCTCCCAATGTGGAACCGTTTTGCGATGACGTAGCAGTGTCGTCATCATCTTTGCTCAAAATTATTTTAATATCAGTTCTTGACTTCTTCGCCCTATGAGGATTCGAGCTGCCGTACCTGATGATAGATAAATTTTGAAATTATAGCAATGATTTTAAGAAAGTTCAATATTATGCTAATCTAGTTATACGGACGATTTAAAAATTCCTTTTGGGAAGAAATATATAGTTTTGGGCTTTTTGGTCATAAATGAACAAACTTGCAAAAAAAAAGACGTACCGATTAACATATTCATTAAAATAGCAGCCTGATTTTTCTTACTTCAATCTTGTAACTAGCTTGTATTATGGACTAAAATGACTATCAATGCTCAATGCAATGACGATACTCTTGACAATATGACGAGTTGATAATAGACAATACATCTGAGTAATGAGTGCCCTTCAGGTTGGCTAGCAAAAAACTCATGTTGCTTAAAAAGCCTGGCGTCCATTGACACATGGCTTAAAATTTGAGTATTGAAATTCTAATGTATGAGCAACAATGGTAAACAACAACATCGGGCATGCTGAAAGCTAATTATAGAAAATTTGTAGTACATGTTCGCGTCTGGCAGAACGTTTATATATATTGAAAGATGACGTGCGAGTGAACTAACAGTATTGTATTGTATTGCGTAGTTTTTTGTTGGGACGTATTCTTGCAATCATTAGCATCCACAAATTGGTTAGCTATTTTTATAATTAGCCTAGGGCAGGGGTGGGCAAAGCGCTAATGCAGCAACAGAAGTATCACTGATATTGAATAAGAAAAGTAATCAAATCTATTTGTCGGACTGATATTGTCCCGATTAGTGAATCTGCCTGTACACGTTTTAAGTGAAAGTGGCAAAGCATTGTTTTTAATTTTGGTCTGCACGCGGAACAATTTTGTCGTTAAATTTAGACGATTTTGGCACGCGAGCCGAAAAAGGTTGCCCCTGGCCTAGGGTATCAACCATGGCCTGGGCAGTGTTTCCCAACCCGAGTCCGCGGTCTCAAATGAGTCCGCGGAGCGTTTGAATGAGTCCGCAACGAGCCAGAAATTCACTGCGGGCCGCAAACATTTTTGCGAAACTTAACTATCAACCAAGTTACGATTTACATTGGAATTTACATAAAACAAAGAAAGTTTATTCACGTAACATTAATCGAGTCAATAATTACTGGTTACTGAGTAGGGCTGGGCATATATTCCAATATTCAACTAATAGAATAGCAATTTACTATTCGAAAAATTGGTAATAGGTGACGCGACAGGTCACTTGTGCGTCGCTTAATCAAACGATTGGATTTCACAACACACTTGCGGATTTCCGGCGAAAACACGAGTCGGCACACGCGTCGATAGATACCTGAGTGGTGTTTCTCGCGAGTTCGAACAACGAGGAATTAATTTTTAAAGGCGTCAATGGTGGCAACCCAAATTTTCTGAATGAAAAGCGACAACAATACTTATATTAAAAATAGAACAGAGAACACCATAACACCATACGTTTTTTTTATGATGATCCGCGACCGATTGAAAACGCTTTTTTAGACATTGCAAATCGCAAAGTTTCGGGGTGCTGTCGTAGTATAACGAACCAGCAATGACATGTTTAATGTCATTAGTACCGGGGCATTTTTCTTAGGATCCTTTGCTTTATGGCCTCCACATTAGTACGTAAAGTACTGGAGCGCAGTAAATACTGTAAGGACATCTCAGATTTGTCCAAATTCACAAAAATACGAATCAAAACATAATATAAATCGGGCACTTTACCACGCATTTTTGTGACCACTGATTGTCATGATATTTTCTGAGTAGTATTGCATTTATTTCGTCAACATAACCGAAAATTAAAATGCGACGCAGATCCAAATTAAATTAATAATAAAGCAAGGCGATGAATGTGTATTTTTGATTTACTAATATATTTTGAATATATTTTTAATAAGTACTAAATCAAGTTGTACTGTCTGGAAATTTATAGCAGTTAGCAGGCGATAACAAATTCGCAAAATCGCAAGAAATATGTATCAAAACTAAATATAATCGCGCAATAAATTCTCAAATTGATATGTTCGTAGATTGCTGTGGCTTTTTAAAGAATTAATGCTTTCATCTTGTCGTAAGTCGACGCAACCGCAAGTTACCATGAACACAATCAAATTAAAATAGAGACCCATTTTAAATTCTCGTTGTTGTCATGGATTAAATATTGGGGCGACAGAAAAGGCCATACATTATACACTAAAAAAGTCGGTTCTTTTCATGAACGCGTAATTGCGGCGAATTTCCAATTTTGATTCAATAAAATTCTGTTGTGTTTGGTTTTATTGTTTCTTCACACGGAGTGCGGTTGCAACAATCGCACATTGAGTCCGCAAAGGTTTTCGCCGATGAGAAAATAGTCCGCGACCAAAAAAGGTTGGGAAACGCTGGCCTAGGGTATCAACCATGCGAACAACTGCATTTCCTTTGGGCTATTAATAAATAAAAACCCGGCCATATTTTTTAAAATTTGGAGTAAAGTCTAAATTCTAAGCTTACTTCATTTCAGTTTCCAGTTTTCGTTTCTTTTTCTGTTGCTCTTGCGTCTGTTCATTTTCTTTTTCTTCCGTTACTCCTTTTCTAAATTCATCAACAGTTATTCCATCAATAAGAAACTCGCCATTATTCTCTTCCCACATAGCAATGTCTTTCATCATAGCTGCTGTTATTTTAGGCAATGATTTTTCCAAAAGTTTCCGTTTTTTCTCTTCATTGAGAAGATTGCCTCCTCGATTTCTGAGACGTGAAGGGTCTTTCGCTTTGATCGCGAATGCTTTCAACTCATTAACCGTGTCTCTCCAAGAATAGACTTTTTCTAAAATAGGTTGCCTACTTTGGAGTAGAATTTTAGTTTCTTCCAATGTATTTGTTATCAAGTCAAGGGATTCTTCAGAAACTGGCTGGTTTACAAAAATTTCTAAATCGGGAGCCAATAAGCGAGCTTGTCGTCTTATATTATGTAGCTCATTTAAAGTTTTTTCTGTCAAGTTTTGAAGAGAATCACGGCGCAGTTCTTTTAGCTTATCTAGTTCGGCGTATAAAATTGCCAAGTTTTTTTGTTTTAAACCGTTAGCCTCGTTTTCAATTTTGACTCTCTCTTCAACCGATATTTCCATAAGATCCCACATTTGAGTTACTTTTGATTTTATATCTAATATTTCTTTCTCTCGTTCATCCCTGGAGTTTTTGGTATTTTTCTCAAGTTGTCTCAAACGATCCATGTTCTCGTTTGTGACAATAAATGCATCATCCGGTTCCACTAACAAATTGATTTCAAATGTGTCATCAGGCGATATTCCGAGCTCTGTCATCCACTTGGCAACGCGTGGTCGAATTTCTCCGAATTCTTGCAGACTGAAGAACGAAGCAAAATATGATTCATTATATTTTGCACATCGGTTATTTACAATCGAAAATTTTTTTTATAAAATAATACCAAAAAATAATTTAGGTGCATTTGCGCCAGTGAATTTTTCTTTTTGGGTGTAAAATCTGATTTTCATTCAGTGTTCCGTAAAAGACCTCCGAACGTTCCGTATAGAATTGTTGTTTCACAATATTTTTCCGACATATTAACCAATTAATCAGCACGAACTTGATTTTGGAAAGAGTCGGTTGCGTTATAATAAGAATATATGAACTCTGAAATCCCAGAATCTCTTTTGTGGTTTCATTTGTGGTTTGCGGATACATGTTTGAAAACAAAAGCTAAGTTACTTGAAATACTCACCGTTTGTCCTTTTCTTTTTTGAGATCATTGGATGAATTTAACAAGTTGTCAATCTCAAGAATTGTTGGTATCCTGTCTCCAAATTTCACAAAGGTAAGCTCGTGTGGAATAGAGGATACTTCACGCGATAAATTCCGGCATTCGTCGATGAGCTGAGTTGTTTTTTGAATTCTTTTCACTTTGAGTTTTTCTAATACTTTGATTGTGTCTTCCAGTCGCTTATTCTAAAAAAAAATCGGGATGGAATACCACACTACTGGTTTTATATGAACTATAAAGACCTTAATAAACATAATATAATATTGAAGAATAAACTCTTGAAATTACAACACATACTCAAGCATTACGTTACAGGATATACATGTAATCGTTTGCGTTATATATAAACACGATATAGAGTTGCCAATCGATTTGGCCCTACTGAGTTTTACAATATCGATTCCCACTCATAGCTAAAATGTTCAACGAGACCCGCCTAAATTTTAAACCGAATGAGTGCTTGAAATTGAAGGTGTTTGCAAGCCAGCGTATGTACCTGCAAGTACGGTAGAGTAATTTCACTTGTTTAGTTATTTTAGGGGAACTTAATTTACATTTAAATTATTGAAAATGAGTAAATTTTTACTTTCCGTAAAATTTGCATATTCACTAAAGACCCATATTTACACAAACAAAGGCAGATAATCTGACCTTAACCAAAATAGTTTCACTCATTGCTCCAGAAGGCGCTTGTTTGATTAATATTTCTTCTTGCTCGCTGAGTGTTCCCAATTTTTCTTGTAAGATTTCTGATATTTGTTCGTTTGCACGAATATTGTCGGAAATTCGTTTTTCCGTTGCTGATTCTTCTTTGACCATGTTTTCCACAAGAAAGCGTAAGTGATTCACACAATCACACCGCCGATCTTGTACCTGAAAAATTAATGTGATGATAATGTTTATAACTTCATTTCAATCTTTATCAGTCCTTTTAATTAATCTTCATTGTTCATCTTTGGTAAAATCAAACTTGCTATATGCTAAAGTTATCACGTTGAAAATGACAATATTTGACGTGTGATATCATTTTAAATCTGATTGAACATTGAAATTCAGTCACCTATTGACTCATGAGATCATAACAGTTGTCCTCTAAAACTACCATTATGCAACTCTTACTTTATTTTCTGGTATTCCAAGACGTTTCCAAATATCTTCAAGAATAACCATGTTGCGATTGAGAATACAATTTATCTCACGTTTTGTTTCTTCCATCCTGCTTTCATAAAAGTACTCGCAAGAGCTATAAATAATCGTCAAAAAAATAGATAGTCATTTGAGAGAATCTATATATAGCGAACGAATGTATTAGCAGCTGCTCACATTGATTATTCAACTAATATACCCAGTAATCAACTTCATTTTGCCAATTGAATTACATTGCTTTCATTAAGCTTTGTATATTATAAAATACTATGAACTAATCTTCAAACCTACTCACTGAGCATGACTGTGAATAACTCCTCTGTGCAACTTCACGTTAAAGTTACCTCGCGTTTGCCACGCTTCGATTTTCGCCTAAATTGTTGACGCTGCTAAAACCAAAAGCCTTCAGCGTCCCTGCTTCATTTCCGAGACGTCACAAGGAAAAACAAATTGTTTATAATCGTACGGCACACGTAATAAGGCAGATGATTGGCTCTCCAATTAAAGAGAAAATTAGGCAAGTGCGAAAGATTGTTTTGCGCAATAAAATCACGAGAGCTTTGCTCAAATATATGGGCAGTGGACACGAAAGCCAAAACGAAGTAACCTCAAATCTTTCACAGTACCGTAGTCTGACAATCACATCGCTGAAATGCGGTCATGGAACCACGGTGAGGTTCGCATTTTTCAATTTTGATTTTGTCATCGCACATAAAAACGAATCCCAGTCTAGCGAAAAATACACACTTCAACCATTGAAAATTCCAAAGCAATTGGTGCTGCGAAAAGCCATTTTTTCATAACAATAAGAAGAAAATACTAACAACATAAAAACAAAGCAATTCATTCGTACATTTCGTGTCCAACATGAGGTAACGCAGTGTTCACGACTAACACGATGTTAGTGTGTTATGTTTGGCTTTTTACACTGATAGTTTAAAGCTTTTGTGCGCAACGCGTGGCAACATGCCAACACCATGTCCATTAGTAATTAATAACCTAGAATTTCCATTTTTACTTTAGGCGTCATTGACAGATTTTTTTCCTCTGTCCATAATTCTATGTCTTTTTGCGATGACACAAAAAGAAATTGTATTAACATGAAAATTTTTATTTGACGTGTTGGGCTTGAACTATTTTGGGTAACTATCGTTAAACTACGTAAAACACCATTAGCACATATTTAATCAGTATTTTAACGGAGAAATGAAAAACGCATACATCACTGAAATGCTGGGTCCTCATGCCGAAATCTGAAATGACGACTTCGAGGAAGAAAGTCAACATTATCTGTTGCCGATGACCGCTTGAGGGATTTTGCGTTCGCTTGGCCAAACGTACAGTTTTTCAAGAAAAAAATTTTAACCAAGATGTCCGCTACGGCGCATGATTTAGTAATATTTGTGAGAAAAGAGAATCGACGGAGGTTCGTTCGAAAGCATGCACAGGAATAATCACGCTGGAAAAGGAGATCAGCTATTATAACGTAATGATAAAATCGAAATAATTCGGGGACTCGAGAGTATCGACCTTCAGTAGCCTACCCCGGCCTCACTCCCAGCCCTAGATGAAAACTGTATTTAGATACTGTATATGGTGACCGTACATTTGAACCCACGTACATTTGAACCCATGTGTATATCCGCGGGTTCAATCAATGTGCGGGTGATAAAACCCATGGGTTTGGTTAGTATGGGTTCAAATATCCGTAAAACAAAAAAAAATTCTGTAGGTGCAATAGTATGCAGATGCAATCGTCGTGGGTTCAAATGTACGTGGGTTCAAATGTAATGGAACCACTGTATATACCCTATGACATTCATTAGAATTATTCCATTCAGTAAAAACATTCGAACATCCATCGAAACTTTTTTCAGTGAATTCGTTATCATTTCATGAGAGATTCAGATGCAAGTCAATAAGATATACCAAGACAAACCAATTTTTCAACCGCAACTAAATACTAAATATATCTCTTGAGGATATCGATCTCGCTGGCGGTTGTAGTTTTTCCTTAAAAAAGGTACGATAATGTGGTCGTTCATAGAAAAAAGTTGTACTGACTCGATGATAAGCTTTTTGATAGGTATTCGATATCCGATACGAATTCATAATCCAAAACGGCTACATAATCCGCTAGTATATGTCGCCTCCTTTCACACTGAAAAATGCCACATATTTTTACTCAATTCTGTATTATTCAGTATGGTGAACCAGTGATTTCTCTACACCCCTAATTTTCGGGTGCGACACCATACTTTGATGCCTAATCTAGATAAAATTGTATTCGAACATGCAGAAAGTGACTCATATGCCGTTGAAGATGATCAGTCAAATACATAACACATTTATATAAGTTACAAATAGTTTTATCACTAATAACAAAATATCTCCCCCCCCCCCCCCCCACGAATATATTCACGAATTTGTTGAAATTCACCAAATTTGCTGAGCCAATAATTCTATCGCTTAAACTGAAAATCTTCAATAGCGTATCTGACACGAAACTAGCACATTTCATGGATAACAGCGAATCAGCAAATACAACAGTTCAGTGACATTTGTAACTGTTAATCACACATATTCGGTTTATTGTTTTGTCATGTCTCGCTGGTTGAATTTTAAAAGCTGTGTGGGTAGTTTAGCAGTTTTTTTCATTCTAAAAGTTCATTTAGTCATAGAAAGATTCACTGTGGACTTAAAAAACATGTATGATGGTATTCATACAGTGCTGTTTAGATCAGTGCTCTTTGTGCTTTTGTTATTTTGGAACCCCTGATATAATTTTTCGTTTTTTATGGAACCCTAATTAACAAAATAAAAATAAAAAACACGAAATACTCGTGACACGAAATAAATGTAATTCAAATATTTCTACTTCAACAACAAAACAGAAAGAATGTAACAAACGTTAAATTCAATGACTAGTTTGTTTTTGCATTTCCTTTGCAATCTTCTTGAATCGTGATATTTCCCGCCTTAATTTGAACACACTAGCCAAAACTTTGCCACGAGACAGCCAACGAACTTCTGTATGTAACAGAAGAGTGTTATTATCAGCATCCATTTCTTCACACAGTTTTTCAAAAACTCCGAGGCGGATTTTCTTTTACCACCACATTTTATGTAATTCCAACAATAGCGTTCTTGTTAGTTGCATAACAACGACTAAAGGGACGCAACAACCGAATATATTTCTGTTTTGTCTATTAACTGCACTATGACTAAACCTCCTGTTTAACGAACTGGCCTACTTGGAGTTTGAATGAGACACGGTGGTCTAAGAATATTTATAATGACTCATCAACATGCTGGAGCAAGAAATGATTTCCCCTAAAAAAAACGGAAACCCTAACGAACCCTATAAACTCACGGAACCCCACTGCATGTATTGCGGAACCCCTGTTGAAGAGCACTGGTTTAGATAGTAAAAGACTTTGATGAAAGGTAACTTTGGAATAAAAACACATTTTTGTTCTTTTGAAGGACATCCGCATACTCAGTGGCGTAGCATCCACCTCCGCAACCCCCGCGGTCGCGGGAGGGCCCACAGCGCAAAGGGGCCCAAGCGGTTAGAATTTAGAAATTTAAGCCGCGAAACCAAAAGCTGCATTGCAACACCAGTAATGCACATCTTATAACCTTGATGTTAATTCTGCTCAAATCGTTTTGTTACGTAACAATGCCAGGAAGTCGTCGATTTTCGCGTCTTGTGGTATGATCGCACCGGCAAAATTACGAAGGCTGTCAGAATGATGTCGAAAGCAAAACCTCTCAGTGGCGCATAGAAACGCAGAAAAAACGCAGAAGAGGAAGCGCGTATGAAAAAAATTAAAGTAACCAAGATAAACGGAAAATTTTAGGTTACTATTGCCTTTTAATAGCGTCATGTTATGTTTTTTGACGAAATAAAAAAAAGCGTTGTTTTAGCTTATGTCCGAGAGTTTTTAGGGTCATTTTCACGAAATATTTTTGCGGGGGGGGCCCACGAGAGTCTTGCTACGCCACTGTGCATACTTATCAAGATGAAATACAAGATCAGAAGGCAATCAGCCTCACTCAATCGAATACTAAAATGCTGGATTATCTTGAATGTAGACAAATGTAATTTTGTTCCATATCACCGGATTACTTCAGCAAAAATAGTCTATACGAAATTTTAACGATACCTGTGTAAAAAGTTGTTCGCCTCTCACTTCCTATTGCATCATGATTGGGAACCTTGTGTTTGGGGTATGTAAGTATGATAAAAAGACGAACATATATGGATATTTTTGATTTGCTAGGTCTTCTCCGTCTCTTGTCATTCAGCGTGATATTTGAACATACGAAGTCTATTAATTAATTAAATTATTAAGTAATTAAAAAATTCTTACCGAGCTATAGCTTTATGATCCTGTCTCGTTACAACGAAAGAGTTAAAAGGAAACAATTTTTTAAAAGGAAACAATTTCAACAGGCAGACTTATATACCTAACTATTTTATTATTTATTTCGTTTAAAAATCAAATTTCTTTGCGGAAATGTATGAATCATACGAAAACACCTGATTTCAAATCGTCCATTATATTTCAGGTTTTATGTTACAACACAGCCGTCAATGAGACTAGAAACCTATGGTAAACACGAACTATTGGTTTACGGAATCAGGGTTTTGTCCCACACTTCGGATTTTATATTTGGACCAATCCCAATTTTCTGAATTGCACTAGTAAATTTTATCTTGTAAATTAAGAGCCACGATTATCAACAGAAGTTTTGACACAGAAATATCATTCAACTTCCTATATATAGCTCTGTGATAATTCAAAAAGAGATAAAATAAACATTAAAAAAGACTTTTAATACACTAACAAGAATATATTTCTGTAACGTTTTGCTAGACCACGGCCAAATTTGCTCGGCAAGACTTCTGAATCACTTAGAATAGTTGCCGTGACTCTTGCTACATCATCCGTCTATTATAGATCAACCAGAAAGACTTTTGATTCGCGCAGTCTAACTGCCTTATTGCAGCAGTATGCTTGCTTTAGGTATCCACGAGCAATTTTCCGTATTCACGTAAAGTATTATTCTTCACTGTAGCTACATTGAATTCTCGTTTGTCAATTCATGGACAGGATTATTGATTGCCGTCCTCACTCACACTTCCTACAGCATTCTTGCGTTATGGGTCCTTTAGCAAAACTTTTGAGTGACTTAGCATATCTGTTTTTGCTCTCGCCAGATCATACTTGCATGATAGATCCACCGCAGCAAGATTCTCGAATAATCATTTCGAATAGTTGCCTCAACTCCTGGCACAAGATTCTCGCACTATGAATTCACCAATACGACTATTGAATCACTTAAATAACTGTCTTCACTTTTGTTAGATCATCCTTACATTGCGGATACACAAGCAAGAGTATTGAATTACTCTCAATAG